AACCTAAACATCGATCAACTGAAGGATGGATAAGCAAAATGTGGTATTATCCATACAACAGGATAGTATTCAGCAATAAAAAAGAATGAAGTACTAATATGTGCCACCACATTGATCAACTTTGAAAACATCACGCTAAGTGAGAAAAGCAGGAGCAAAAGACCATACACCTATTTATTTCTATTTATTCTATTATTTCTATTTATATGAAATGTCCAGGACAGGCAAATCCCCAGAGACAGAAATTAGATTAGTGGTTGCCTACGGCTGAAGGGAATGGAGGTATTGGCAGGTGATGGCTAAGTGTATGGGGTTTCTCTTTGGGGTGATAAAAATGTTCTAAAATGCACTGTGGTAATGGTTGCACATATCTGTGAATATACTAAAGCCACTGAATTATACACTTTAAATGGGTGAATTATATGGTATGTGAATTATATCTCCATAAAGCTGGGAGACCCACAAGTATAAATGTTTTATGGTAATTACAGAAGTGAATCAAGTCTGACTGCCAATTTATTGTTCTTACCAGGATGTGGTTAGAGTAACTTATTAATAAGTCTAAACTCTTCAGACTTTTCCAAGAGTTATTCATTATAGTACTGCATACTTGGTGTGCTGTTTGCTATCATAACTGTTATTAAAACAACGAATAACAGCTGGTAAGTTTTTTGAGTGTTTCCAATAACATATAATTTTATAAACTGAAGTGGTGGTTGGCCATACAGGACCTTACTAAGCAAAGTCTCCTTCCTACATACAATTCTAACACTACATATCCTATTTCTAATTTTAGGTACTGTGGGCTTATCTGAATGTTCCTACTCACTGGATAGGCAATGTATTTCTTTTCTTGTCTTTTTTTAAATTGTGGTAAAATATACATAAGTGTACAATTCACGGCATTAAGTACATTCATAGTGTTGTGCAACCATCACTCCTATCCAATTTCAGAACTTTTCAATAATCCCAAACAGAAACTCTGTACCCATTAAACTATAACTCCCCATTACCTGCTCAGCCCAGCTGCCGGTAACTTCTATTCTACTTTCTATCTCTATGAATTTGCCTATTCTAGGAACCTCATATAAGCAGAATCATACAGTATGTCTTTTTGTGTCTAGCGTATTGCACTAGCTTAATGTTTTCAACGTTCATCCATGCTGTAGCATGTATCAGAATTTTATTTCTTTTTAAGGATTAATAGTATTCCACTGTATGTATATAACACATTTTGTTTATCCATTCTTTTGTTGATGGAATATTTGGGTTGTTTCTACCTTTTGGCTATTGTGAATAATACTACAATGAACACTGGCACACAAGTGTCTGTTCAACTCCGTGCTTTCAATTCCTTTAGATATATACATAGCAGTGGAATTGCTCGATCATATGGTAATTCTATGTTTAACTTTTTTTTTTTTGCTGAGGAAGATCAGCCCTGTGCTAACATCTGCCAATCCTCCTCTTTTTTTTTTTTTGCTGAGGAAGACTGGCCGTGGGCTAACATCCATGCCCAT